CTCGCTATAAAAGCCAGAGTGCGCCCTTCAGCACTTCAGTTGCGCGCGGAGGGGGGAGGCGGTGGGCCGGCGGCGGCGGCGGAGGGCGCAGCGCCGGGACCCTCGCGCGGATCGGGCCGGGGAGGGGGGCCCCGTCGAGGAAGCCCCCTCCCCGCAGCGGGGGCCTGGAGCCGTCCCCAGGGGCAGCCCAGACGGACCAGCCGCCCCACCCCCGGGGGCCTCTCCGACGGCCGGGGCGAGCGGGCGGCGGCGGGGGCGCCGTCGTCGGGGCGGGCGCGGCTCTGGCGTCCCGTGGCCCGGCCTGAGATGGCCTCGGAGCTGGCCCTGAGCGGGGCCGAGCTGCCCACCAGCCCGCTGGCCATCGAGTACGTCAACGACTTCGACCTGATGAAGTTCGAGGTGAAGAAGGAGCCGGCCGAGGCGGAGCGCTTCTGCCACCGCCTCCCGCCGCCCGGATCGCTCTCCTCCACGCCGCTCAGCACCCCCTGCTCCTCCGTGCCCTCCTCGCCCAGCTTCTGCGCGCCCAGCCCCGGCGGACAGCCCGCGCCAGGCCTCGGAGCCCCGACGGCAGCAGGAGGAGGAGGAGGGGGAGGAGGCGGCGGCAACGGCCTTGGGCCGGGCAAAGCGGCGGCGCAGCTGGAGGATCTCTACTGGATGTCGAGCTACCAGCACCACCTCAACCCCGAGGCGCTCAACCTGACCCCCGAGGACGCCGTCGAGGCGCTGATCGGAGCCCCGCACCACCCGGCTGCCGCCCACCACCACGGCCACCACGGGCACCACGGCGGGCCGGGCGGCGGGGGAGCCCCCGGGGGCAGCTTCGACGGCTTCCGAGGGCAGCCCTTCCCGGGCGAAGAGCTGGCGCCGGGCTCCACCGGCCCGCACGCGCACCCGTCCCTGGCTCACCACCACCATCACCACCATCACCACCACGGGCCGGGCGGGGCCGGCGGGCACCACCACCACCACCACGGAGGCCACCACCACGGAGGCCACCACGGCCACCACCACCCGGGGCACCTGCACGCGCGGCTGGAGGAGCGCTTCTCCGACGAGCAGCTGGTCTCCATGTCGGTGCGCGAGCTGAACCGGCAGCTGCGCGGCTTCAGCAAGGAGGAGGTGATCCGGCTGAAGCAGAAGCGGCGGACGCTGAAGAACCGCGGCTACGCCCAGTCCTGCCGCTACAAGCGCGTCCAGCAGCGGCACATCCTGGAGAACGAGAAGTGCCAGCTGCAGGGCCAGGTGGAGCAGCTGAAGCTGGAGGTGACGCGCCTGGCCAAGGAGAGAGACCTCTACAAGGAGAAGTACGAGAAGCTGGCCGGGCGCGCCTTCCCCGCCGCCCCCAACGGCGCCCGGGAGCCCCCGCCCCAAGCCCCGCCGCCCCCCGGCCCCGCCAAGCCCGCGGACTTCTACCTGTGAGAGCGGGCCCCGACGGGGCGGACGAGCGGGGCGTTCCTGGCCCGGCCCGACGGAGGAGGACGCGGCCGCAGCGCTTGGAAGGAGGAGGAGGAGGGGGAGGGGATCCGCCCCTCGGTCTCTCTGTCTGCGCGTCTGTCCGTGTGGACCCCCCCGACGGCACAACAGATCCCCGCCTCGCCTGGACCCCTCTGGACGGAGAGAAGGACAGCGCCGCCTGGACGGACAGACAGATGGAGGGAAAGGAGCCGCTTGTCGTCGGCTGGGGGCCAAGGACGCTTCGACGGAGACCCCTCCCCACTTTCTTCTTCTTCTCCCCCCCCCCCGCGACCCCTGCATGCCGGCCATGTATGGGATTTAGCCCGGCTCGCCTCTCCTCCCCCGACGGGGCACCCTGCGCCCTCCGGCGCTCGCTCGCTCCTTCCTTCTCTTTCGATGGGGCGGCCCCGGGGGGGCTCTTTGCCGGCGGGGGGACTCGGTTCGTTGAGCCTCGGAAGCTGGGTTTGAGTTTACTTTGTCTTTTTATCTGCCCCCCCCCCATTCCGCCCTCCCCTTAATTCCTGATTTGTGTGTCTGTCTGTCCTTTTTTTAAAGACGGGGACCTGAGCCAATTAACTTATTAAAAGTGTCCACTTGTACAGCGGTCCCCTTTGCCCCCCCTCCCTCCACTCTTCTCCCTCTTCCCCCCCCCCTGCGCCCCCACCCCTGATTTTCTCCAGCCTTCATTTGCTTGGTGTTTAAACGAAAAGAGAAAAAAAATGAACTTCAAACACGAGTCTTAAATAAAAGTTTGTATGTAATAGCATGCAAATAATATAAGATTAATTTAACGATGATGTTGACAGAGCCGAATGCACTATATACAGTAATCAATTGGATTAAAATAATGCTGTTTGTTTTATAGAGATTTAAAATTATCTATGCTGTTTAAAACAATTATTTGGGAGGGGGAAAAATTAAACACTCCTTTAAGATGATTTGAAAGGCAATAGATGAATATATGAGCTGCTATATTAATGTTACAAATACTATGCACCAGAATTATTTATTAAATGTCGAGGAAGCGAAACGTTAAGTCGGAACCTTGATTTATAAAATGCACACTTTATTTATTGCAGAATCAACCCAGAAAAAAAATATTCTTGCAGTGAATGCTTTTCAGAGGAAAGCTTTTACTGAACTTGGGATTTGGGGTGTTGTTGTTTTTAAATGTTTATTTAAAAAAAATAAAAAATAAAAATGAAACCGTAAAGGAATAAGGATGCGAAATGAATAATGGGCATTTCTCAAAAGCCCAGCACAATTTGTGAAATTTTGGAAACTGGTGCATTTTTAGGTGCGAGGCATTTTAAAATGACCTTTCGATTTTTGTGGTTTTTAACAGTTTCATCTAGATAAAATCGATTTTCCTCTGAAGCTTTGATTCAGTTCTTAATCTTTCTTTCTTTCTATTTTCCACATCCTGCTCTTGAGCCATGCAGGCAGTTACAACCTCAAACCAACTTAATATTTATATATAGATAAATATATATTTTTTGTTTATTTGTCATGAACTGTTTCTGTTTGTGTTCAGGCATTCTAGCTTTCATTTGCTACGAAACAAAAAAAAATAAATCTCTTTAGACATAAATCTTTTGGTCTCCCCTTTCTAGTGTTTCCTCTAAATCTGTTGAAGTTCTTTGCGTATCTCGGCTTTTGTCCAAAGATGATTTGGGGGGGGGGGGAATAATTTTGTTTTGTTTTTTTCAGAGAGAAAATGTGGGAGTGTGCATAATTCTAGCCTTTGGAGAGAATCCAGAGATTTAGAAGACATTTAAAATTTCCTGTAAGGCTGTGTTAAATTAAAAGATCTTTAGTTCAAAGATTACCTTGCAAAATAAATACTCCTGCATTTGCTACTTTAATTTCTTTTAATTTTTCTTTTGTTTTCTATAGATTCTGTTTCAGGTCGCCTTCGATGTTAACTTTTCCCTCTCGGGCTTTATCTACCGTATGTATCCTTTTATTTCCTTTTGATAAGATTTATACGTTGATTCAGTTTTCTATATTTTAAAAAAAACACATTTGTTTCAAATGAACGCAGACAGATTTTGCAATGCTGTCCTGCAGCTTTTAAACAGGGGGGGGCATTTAACAATAGTTGGTAAATATCTATATTCAAGCATGCATTTGTAGCTTCTTTTGGTATGAAGTAATATGAAAATGTGCCTTTTTTATCTCATCCTGTTTGTATCTCTTTAGAAACAATTTGGTGGGAGAATAATCTCTTTTCCTATTTAACAATTTTGGCTGCTGTTATAACAACACAGGGCTGTCCCAAGTATTTATTTTAGATGGTAATAAATGACTCCTCCCCTCCAGTTCCACTTCTGACCTTAAGCATTTTTATCCTTTTCTTTAAATCAGTTTTTTATGGAGTTTTAAAAATACCATGTGGGCTAATTCATTAGGGGTGGGTGGGAGATTCTTTCCAAACTTGGTAACTGTCATATTTTAGATGCTAAAAGTTGTGTGAATATTTTAAACTCTACATTTTCAACCGATGAAATCCCTCTCTGCTTCCTTAGGAAAATAGCCCAGAAAATTGATTGAAAGGACAAGATAGTAAGTGAGAAGGAAGGAAACGTAATCGGAAGTAATTTTTTTTAAAGGATTTTCCTAGAGGAGGAAAAAAAGAGCGAATCCGGCAGGAACTTCATTTGTCTTAGGATAAACTTCGAAATTCCCCTTAGTAGAAAAAATAATAATAATCTAACGATCTTGGGGTTTTAGTTCCAAGTGGATGAGCTTCCTTGGGGGAGCAGCCGGATGAGGAATTCGTAGGGGGGAAATAAGGGGTGGGGTGGGGCTTCATCCAAATAATTTGGGAATCGTTTTAGTGGCTCTTTGCAAGAAAATACCTTATTATCAAGGAGAAGTCCAACTAGATTTCTTTCAATGGAGATCACCTGTTGCTCTTTCTTTCTTTCTTTCTTTCTTTCTTTCTTTCTTTCTTTCTTTCTTTCTTTCTTTCTTTCTCTCTCTCTCTCTCTCTCTTTTCCTTCCTTCCCTCCTTTTTTCCTTTTCCTCCCTCTCTCTCCCGCTCTTCATTCATCCACCTTCTTGATGCCTGCCTGCCTTCCTTCCCTCCTTCCTTCCCTCCCTCCTTCCTTCCTTCCTTCCTTCCTTCCTTCCTTCCTTCCTTCCTTCCTTCCCTTTTTACAAATGCTGCAAACGTGGAGGGGGGGGGAGAAACGCCAGGATTTGTGCGGGTTTTAAAGCGAGCACATTTATTTTGGTTCCGTTCAGACGTTCCTTTTAGTTGATCCCGTGCCGATTTGCGCTTCCCCGGGGTTTCGTTTGAACTGGGTTCCTTTCTGGTCTCGAGAGAAGGGCAGGAAACGCTCCGTTTATTTTTAGTTTTGGGGAAGGATGCGCGTGGAAAAAAAAAAAGCCGAGCCTGGCTGTGAAACGCAACTCAGGTCTGGGTTCTGGATCGCTAGGCATCGCGGCGGGGTCGGTGGGGCAAGTGAATTCGGATCCCCTCCGTTTCCTTCCGAAGCGAGCAAAAGAGGATTCAGCTCCCTTCAGCGATCAGGGAAGCGAGTTGGTTCTATTGCAGGTTGATGGGGGAGGGGTGGGAGCAGCCTTTCCCCAGAGTTTCAGGATCGCGTCTTAGATCCGATGGCCTTGAGCGGCTCTCCCGACCGTCCTGGAGCTGAAAGCGGATTTATTTATTTCTTTTTCGCAGTGCGCAACTCTGCGCCTAGCCGGATCCTTTGGGGTTTCCTTTGCGGGCGCTGCTGGAACCAGAGGCGGAGAAGTGGGTGGGTGGGTGGGTGGGGGTCTCGTTGGCGGGAGCTTTGCTTTTGCAGCCTCTCCTTCAGCACAATAAGAAGGGGCTAAAAAGCTGGCAGGGAAACGATCTTAAGTAGGATCGCATTATTCTAGCCAACCTTCCTTGTGCAAAGAAGGAGAGATTGTGCTTTTGATTAACTTCTCTGGGAGTTTCAATTTAAAATTTTCCTTCCTTCCTTCCTTCCTTCCTTCCTTCCTTCCTTCCTCCTTTCCTTCTTTCCTTCTTTCCTTCCTTCCTTCCTTCCTTCCTTCCTTCCTTCCTCCTTTCCTTCTTTCCTTCTTTCCTTCCTTCCTTCCTTCCTTCCTTCCTCCTTTCCTTCTTTCCTTCTTTCCTTCTTTCCTTCCTTCTTT